CAGTGGCACACTCACGGCCACCGCAGCCTTAACTGGCTGGGCTCCGGTGATCCTTCTGCTTCAGCCTTTCATGTAGCTGGAACTACAGGCATGCACTTCCACACCCAGCTTATTTTTTGATTTATTGTAGAGACCGGGTCTCACCAAGTTGCCCAGGTGAGTCTTGAACCACTGAGCTCAGGCAACCCTCTAACCTTGGCCTCCCAAAGTGCTGGGATTACAGGCCTGAGCCACCATACCCAACCCCACCTGCAGCTTTCTATCATTGCTGAAATGGCCCTACAGGGCCTCTCCCCTCATTGAGTCACTCAGGTAGCACCTATCAATGGATGCTCAGAAGCATCGCTTCTCTTGCTGACTTCCCACTGTGGTTTACTGGCTGGACATAGGAAGGTACACTGAGGCATAACATGTTTATGTTCTTCAAAACATCTACCTGAATTTTGTATCTTTTGAGTCAGGGTCTCACTCTGTTACCCAGGCTTCAGTGCAGTGGCACGATCATGGCTCACCACAGCCTCCAAGTCCTGGGTTCAAGTAAGTCTTCTGTGTCAGCCTCCAGCATAGCTGGGACTACAGGTACATACCACCACACTTGGCTAATTTTTAATTTTTTTTTTTTTTGGCTGAGATGAGGTCTCACTATGCTGCCCAGGCTGTTCATATCACTTTGTAAAGGAGCTGGAAAGAAATCCAGCTGGCACAAGTGAGGCAGAAAATGCAAGCCTGTACAAATCCTATTACCCCCAACAGATCCACAAATTTACTCTAATAAAAGTATCTCCAAGCCCCTTTTAATGGCTCACAATTAAATGTCATTTTTGCAACTGCAAGTCATTTAATGCAGTCATGATGGTTTTTCCAATTCTTAATCCAGAAAACTAAATGAAATCTACACACACCCTCCAGGTTCTAATCCTGTACTTTATCAGTAGAATCATAAATAACCCTTTTGGTACAGAGCACACTATTTGCTGAGGTGGGAGATGGCCTACACTAAATTTCCTCCTGGGTGAATGACCAACAGGTCAAGAGTCTCCAGTGGGATCTGGGGAGACTCCCTGATGACCCCAGGCAACTTCTTTAGAATCATTTCCAAAACCAAAGGGTATTACTGTAACGAGCTTGGCTTCTGCTGCACAGTCAAGACGGCAGAGAATGCAGCAGATGGCTCTATAAAGCCAGTTTGATTGACCTGAACTGATTGCTGTTTGACGTGGGGAGTTTATTTCACAGCGAGTCAACCTAGTAGCCATTTAATAAGCAGTCTTGCTGCACAAGATTTCCTTACCCACAAAATGACGGTTTTATTAGTTCACTAACGCCGGAGAAGCTTTTAATAGAGAAGTTATGGAGGCCTGTTTTCTACATTTAGAAGAAATTCTTTAAAAAAAAACCCCAAAAAACCACAAAAGTGATCGCCAGGACAGTGTAGCTTGAAGGCAGTTCACACCCCAACTAGGTGCTTTAGAGCTGTCTGTATGCCCTTTGAAGAAAATCCTTTCCCTGGAGTCTGTCTCCCCATCTGTAAATAACACCCACCTTGTGGCCTCATTGTCAAGATCCAGGCTTTTTAAACGCTCAGCACAGTACCCAGCATGCAGCAGGGGCTGGAGAGCCATGCTGAGTTTTCCCCACAGCTTCTCAGATCACTGCCACCACCTCTCAGAGAGGAAGTGGCACAAAGATGGGAGAAAGGGAAGAACCGAAGTGATCCTCCAGGGGTGACAGCAAGGAGTGGGTATGGGGTGGCGGGCCTAGGGGAACACAGCTCCATAAAACCACCAAGGGGCAGTGTTAACGTTTTTGCCCTACGTGGCACCCACTCTAAAGCTCAAGCTGTGTTCAGCTCTTTGACATTCAATTTTTTTAAATTATTTTTTTGAGTCAGGGTCTCACTCTGTCACCCATGCTGGAATGCCATGGCACGATCACGGCTTACCACAGCCTCGACCTCCTGGGCTCAGGCAATCATTCCACCTCAACCTCCTGAGTAGCTGGGACTACTGGCACATGCCACCACGCCTAGTTTTTTATTTTATTTTTTTAAGAGATGAGTTCTTGCTATATTGCCCAGGCTAGTCTTGAACTCCTGGTCTCAAGCGATCCTCCCATCTTGGCTTCCCAAAGTGCTGAGGTTACAGGCGTGAGCCATCACACCCGACATTAGATGTTTTAATTTTGTCTAGAATCTTCATGGTCACAGAAATGTCATCACTACCACCAATCTGGATCTTGTTTCTATGGCTGTTTTTATCCCAAAGCACTGTGTATTCAAGGTCCTGCTTGTAAGGCAAATCCTGCGGGGAAAGGTCAAGGTGCTGGCAGGGAGGGGCCCAATGGGGCTTGGGTCTCTGAATAAATATAAGCAAGAAAGAAACTTCTCAACAGGGTGGTGGTTCCTTCACCCCTTGAGGCCTCCGACATCTTTCCACCAAGTACACATAAACTTTCTGCAGCCCAGGGCTCATGTACACCCCACTCCCAGAGCCACCCAGCCTTAGGAAACATGGAAAAACGAGTGCCACTTTGCAGGGTGACTATACGAGCGGCTTTGTGAGCGAGGCTCAAAGAACACACAGTCCTCTAGCAACTCAGAGCCACAAGTATCCATTATAATTTTCCAACGTAAATTCAGAATTCTCAAGTGTGCCTTGAATTTACCTGGGGGATTTGAAGTACAGACTACCCAGGTTCCACCCCTAAATGGCATAGTTGGAAAGCCTGAGTATAGGGCCTTGGACAAGTAGTTCTGTTTTGTGACAAGGTATCTCTCACCCAGGCTGGCATGAAGTGGCACAATCATAGCTCACTGTACACTTGAACCTCTGGGTCAAGTGATCTCCCGCCTCAGTCTCCCAAGAAGCTGGGACTACAGGCATGCACCACCACACCTGTTAACTTTCTTAAAACATTTTTTTGTAGAGCTAGGGTCTCACTGTGTTGGCCAGGCTGGTGTCAATCCTAGGCTCAAGCAAGCCTCCTGTCTTGGCCTCCCAAAGTGCAGGGATTACAGGCACGAGCCACTGCACCCAGCTTGAACAAGTAGTTTTGACAAACTCCTCAGATGAAGCTTTTAAAAACCACAGTGCTAGAGGGAAGGGCTTGGGGCTCCTCCCCTTCTGAAGTTCAGCAGAACGGCTTGTCTACACTTGGACACTTGTGAACACACCCTCAACAGCAGTGCTTTATCAAATCTTCACTGAGAGACAGCTCTCCAAGTGGCAGCTGCAAGGCTGGTGCCACCAGGAAGGAAAGAGGGCACGAATGCCGGGCCTGGACAGGCTGACAGAGAACGACAAACCATTCTCTGTAATGATCAGTCTAGTCTTTGGAGCACGTTAAAAGTGGCCTTTATATCCAAGTCAATCCTTTTTTTCATCCACTTGTGCTGTAATTCGTTTTCAAGGTAAATTGCCCTTTAAGAATTTTATTTTGGCTAGAAGTCAATGGGATATTCATTTTTCTATGAATAAAATATCAAATACATAAAAGGAGCTATACTTCTTAGTAGGGTCATTTTAACACATGTATTAAAAGCCTGCAGTTGTCTAGAGATACCAGTACTCAGATATTAAGCATCTCCTTGACCACCTAGCCTTAAGGGAATTGTAAGAGGAAGGTGGTTTTGAATATGAAGTATATAAAAAAGGGGGAAGAGCCACCACATGAATATAAGCTCTACAAGGGTCAGGATTTTGGCCCAATCTGTCCACTGATGTCTCCTAAGCACCTAGAACACAGCCTGGTGTATACTAAGTAGTCAATAAATTGAGGACATTCTATAAACTATCTTACTAGAAAGCACTTACAACCACCAAGTTACGACAGCAAGACTAGAATGGGCTTCATTATCAGGAGGAACACTGTGAGATGCTTCAAAATAGCAGCAAAGACAGAAGGCTTTAGTGATTATTAGCTTTTGATAATTAAATGCTTAATGCTATAAAGAGTAAGAGTAACCAAAACAGGGCAGCTCGTCCCTGGTGAGATGGATGTTACATGACTTCCTGGGGACTCCATTCAGTAAACACCCAGCAACACAGTGGAGATCAAGCCTTCATCCCACCTTTCCAGCCCAATGTGGGTGTCCGACAGTGTCCAGATCCAGTAAAAAATACCATCTAGAAGGAACATTTGGAGACCACCTAGTCCACACCCGTTTTTGCAGATTGGGAACTACAATCTGGAAAACAAAAGAGCATGCCCAAGGCCAAAGTCAAGTCACCAAAGCCAGGGCCATTGAAGGTGCTCATTACAGGCCTGGAGACTGGAGGCTTGAGCAGATGGAGGGCAGCAGATGGGCTAGGAGGGAAACCCAGGCTCTCACGACCCCTTGAAGGGCACTGTTCTCATTCAGTACTCATTTTAGTAGTGTTTAACTCCGAATACTGAAGGCCTTTTCCAGACTCCCACCTCCTCCTCCTTCTCAGGTTTTCCAGTGCAGGACTATCATAAGCCAGAAATGTGAACACCAGGTCAAGAGGAACTGGTCGCCCCTTTTACCACCTTTCCTTAAAAGGGACGATGACACAGATGGATGTGCTAGAACACGTGCTAAGATGCTGGACTACAGGAAGCTGCTTACCAACCACTTTTAACCTCAAAAACACAGCCATTTCATATAAACTGAATAGAAATGTTACAATTTGTTTCATTCTTTGGCAATTCATAAAAATAAACATCAATCTATAAACTGTCAGCAAGCACAGAGAATGTGGAGACCCCAGTAATAAAGTTCTTTATTTCACTCTTACCAAAATGAGTTCACCAGGGACTTCTCAGCACCACTGTCTGACTATGTGTCTACCTCAACACACTCACTGTAGGTGAAGTGAGCAAACACTCAGTTCACACCAAACAGAAACAGGTGAACAGAGGCCCAGTGCTCACTATACACTGCACTTCCTAATTAATGGGTGCAGGCTCTGGGCAGTCCACCTTCATTTTTCCCCTTAACTGCTCCCAATTATGTACAAAATGCAGTCCTTTCACAAGAGTTTAGAAAGTTTTTTATTGGTTACAATTATATAAAATGTGTCATTTAAAGTCACCTCTAGTTATTGTTTGCAGCAACAGCATAAAAATTATTTTTTTATACATCTGACAAGAGCCAATGATTTCAATGCTGGGAGGAGAAAACAGCCAACACCACTGTTGTCTATAATGAGCCTCTCCCTCTCTCTCACGGCTACATTGGTTAAAATCAACGGACAACCCTTTTGTATGTCAAATTGTAAATTTTAATGTTTTCATTAGAATAGTCTTTAATAGCACTCTCCAACAAGAAGCAATAAAATAACTAACAGCAAACTTCAATACAGAACACTCTCCAGATTAACAACTCAAACAAAAAAAATGTAAAATGTAAATCACATATAATACAATTGAAGCGTCCAAAACAATTTAAATAATTTTAAATATTTTATTTTTAAACTGCTACAAATGCTTTATACAATATTTCAACATAAAGTCCCCATAACAGAAATGTAACAAAATGGGAATGATAGTGGAAGGGTTAAAGTGGCACAAATTCACCAAACAAATATTCAACTACAAATTTTAAGAGGTAGATTACTTTTGAAGTTGAGAACAAAAACAGTATGGATAAAACCTAGCCATTTTCCACCAATTCAGTCATTAATTTGGGGGGAGGTATAAAAATGCATGAAGAAATGGTATTTATATACTTAGGAAGAAGCCAATTTGTTGGTTTAGTCTATTAGAGACTGAAATGTAAAATCTGGTTTGTAAATTCATTTATATTTAACATGTAGACATACATCTATGCAGGCTTGGGATGCATCCTGTGCATTGATATATTGCTACATAGTCTCTGATAATACAATAATTATAAATTAGTGCCAGATAATAATCCGAGAGGATAATGTCCATTTGGATATGCAAACATGACACTAGAAGAGGCATAAAAAAAGAGTCCATATCCAATCTGGTTTCCTCTCCATTATGCTGGCAATCTACTTGTGATAAAAACACAAAAAACAGGGCAAGAGATCAGCTAAATGCCTCTCTGTCTATTATCCATTTCAAAGAAAGGCATCAAGAGCTGGTATGTGACCAAAATGTTTTAAATGAGTGTATCTGAATATGTCATCCCTGAAATCTACAATAAACTACTGCTAACACAGAGAACTTGCTTTGCAAGGTAAAGTTCAAATCATTCCTTTCTCTGCTACGTGCCAAAAGCAAGGGCCACACTCAGCTCTGAGTTACCAGTCCCATGACGAGGAGCCAGTTCATCTAGCCCGTATTGACAGTGCCCTTCTCTTTGGATCTCAATCACCCAGGAGCCCAGCACGCGTGTCAGGCACCACCGAAGCAGCAGATGCCTGACTCTAAGCCTGACGGCAATCAGTTGTGTGTTAGGATTTTTGAGTCAGCTTCAACTGGTCTTGCAAGCTTGGTAGATTTCGTATCCTTTGCCGTAGTGCTTATCCTAAGTTGAGCATGCAATATCTTTTAGTCAATTAAGGTTTGTTTTGTTTTGGGGGCTTTTCTACAGGAAGTTCCTAGAAAATAAGAAAACTGAAGATAAATGACAACATAACATAACCTTATATGAATTGACCATGTTAAAGAAAAAGGTGAGTAGATCATAAGACAGATGTTATTAAGACAGCAACACATAAATGACTCTGAAAGTATCTGGGGACTCGAGTGTCCTCCTCAGAAGACACACGCTGGGAGGAGCTACACGCCAGTCCATTTCTAAGTGGGACAGCAGAGATGGAGACATGAAAAATTGGCCTTTAATTTTTTAATCAATTCATGATAAATGAAAAAACTTGGTCTGGAATTTCATTTTGCTTCTCTATCTTTAAGTTTTACTTGACTGACTGCAGTGGGAACTCAGCATAAGCAGTAAGTTGCTCTAAAAGGAGCATTAAAGAACATAAAAACACTTGGGATTTACAAAGGCGAAATGGCTAAGAGGTGAGTAGAACACGTACTGCTTTCCTTCCCTTTGTGTCTTGTTGGAGCCTGTGGAAATGAACCCTCAGCAACAGATTTAAGTTCAGCACCATAAAAAACCACAGGTAGGCTCTGACTGCTAACAGGAATGGGGGATGGTTGTACTGCACTAAGAGCTGCAACAGGAGAATCTGAAAGACAGGGCCATGCCTGGTTTCCTTTGATGCTTTGTCCTAAGGAAAAAAAAATTGGAGCACATGTCTGTTTTTACACCCTGTCTGGGCACCATGGCTCATGCTCCAGGAAATGACCAACCAGCAAACTCTGCAGAGCCCTCTGTTCAATGGAAAAACCACATGGCCAATTGCAAGCACACACTTGAAAAACTGCGGATGCCTATACTGGCATTCAAATGTAAAGTGCCTGAGTGCTGGGGCTAGCTCTAAATCACAGTTTGTTGAAAGAAATACACAGGAAAAGGATGCACTGCCAGTTCTGTGATAAGTCCCTGAGTATGCACTAGGCAGGGTAAGCCAAACTCACAGAGAACAGAGGGGAAGCAAGTATTTCTCAATATACAATAGATGCCTTGTGCCATGAATCACCCCTAAAGAAAATTCAGAAGAACTACACTGAGATGGGAAGACGACTGTAGTTACAACTCATCACTGCAATACAAAAAATGTGTACTGAGAATGAGGCTTGCTGTAGAATAACTCTGGGCAAACATTCATGACAATCACCGGAGTCCCCAGGTCTAAGTTTAGGAATCCCTGTTTTGTACTAAACTCACTACAAAGTCCAAAGACCACCAAACAAGCACTTTGAAGAAATGCCCGCTTTTGTGTCTAGGTAGTCAAAATATATATTGTTGAACATTTGCTTTATAATTTCCAAAAATACTTCACAAGTTTACGTCACTTGGCAAGTGGAGCCCCGGGCACCCCCCGACCTGCAAATGTGTCCACAGTACAGTTCCAGTGACTCACACAAAGGTACTATCGGTGCCTGCTGCTACCAGTTAGGACAATACAATGTTTTCTTATATGATTCTTCTGTGCTTCCTTTTAGGCCAAATTTCACTCCAGCAATTTAACCCTCTGTTAACTATCAAACAAAGTAAAATAATTAAAATTAACTGGAGCAAGGAAGAGAGACATTTTTAAGGTGCTTTAGTCCTCTGCAGTCTTAAGGATTCTTCAAAAGGTTCTGGGTGAGTCAAAGGCTATCTGAATAAACTTCATACATTTACAGACACTCAGCAAGTTTTTCTTTACAGAACTTGATGTTTTCAAATCAACTTGACACTTGAACTGTATACATGGGATCTGGTACAAAAATCAACATTTCTTTTAGATAATATCGAAGACAAAAAGGGATAGACATAATAAGTACATTCGAAAGCATCGACCACCAGGGAGGCGTTTTTTAGTACAATCCGTGAAAACGATGGCACGTTCTGGTCACTTAAGACAGAAGCAACTTGAAAAGGACTCAGTCCGATAATGTCCTGTTGTTGTGGAACCTCCAGAACACAGGCTGAGCCCAAACAGGTACACAGTTGAACTACTAAAGGAAAGGCAGGCAGCTTGACGGCTGACAAACAGGTACGTGTTTTCACCAGGGCTAACCTCCAAGACGCTACCTGCATAGGTGCTGTGGCCAGAGACCAAATGTTGATCAGATCTATAGCAACTGAATATTTAATACATTTCTGAAGAAGTTTTTAAAAAATCTGATCCTTTAATCCTAGGGGATTAAAGCAAATCATTCAAAGTGGCCTTGGCTAATGATTCTTCTCAACATCTTTCTTTAGCTATGACTTAAGGCACACCAGTACTAAGAATGCTACCTGATCAATTATGCAGTGATAATGGCACCTTTGTGTCCTCAGACCTCTTCAAAATAGCAGTAACTCCACAGTTATCCCTAATTCTGCTTGCTTCAGACACCAAAGAATTTTCGGACACTGAAAGCTATAGCCATGAAAGCCTAGAGTCAGGTCAGGTAGCAGACTCTGAAAAGTCAAGATTTAAAAGTATTCTGCAGAAATGCCATCTGACAGGAATAATTTCACAAGAGATTGACCTATAAGGTAAGCATTATTCAAGAAACAGCAGGAGTTCCAAGAATGCACATCAACTAAGTTAGTTAAGGGCCTTTGTTTGAGAAGTCAATGCAACAAATTTAGCTACTGCCATCTTCTTATCTGTCACTAAGAAAGGTTTTAACATAAGGAGAACAGGCAATAAAATAGTAAAGTCACCACAAATCTGAGCTGACACATTACTGTGGAAACAAAGCACTGACAAATAAGGCTGACTTGCTTTGGGTACCACTTGTGCCTGGAAGAACCACGAGGGGCCTGCCTTGCTGTAGGGATCTAAGCACGCCTCTCCTGCTCTTCCTTCCCCTTTGGAATCTGGCTTGTCTGTGATCCTATGGCTGGAGCTAGGGGGACACAGGCACTTTTAGAGGAATATGTTTTGTTTTATTTTTAATCAAGTTGTTAAGATTAAAACACTGGTAATGACAGAAAGCAGTCTCAGTTACTATACCCATGCTGAAGTCATGGAAATACGAAGCAAGACTGCAACAAGGTTTACTAATAAACTCAGTGATCCATCTTAATTTAAGGAACATTCTATGATCAGGAAATAATGTGACACTGAGATATTACCCAAGATATGAAGAAAGTCTGAGAAAATGTCATCTTTACCTGTCAAATGTTTTTGAGAACTTTTCCAGTTTTAAATTCAACTCACACCTGGCCCCACTAAATAAATGGTTCCACCTTGTGAATCTTAAGTCTGAAATAAACTATTGATTGTCTCTACAGCAGCCAAAGCAGTAGCCCTTCATGCCTCCAACTTACACAACATTTCCTTTAAGTATTCAGGTCAAAATTTTACAGGAAAAAATCCCCAATCCCCAAGCCCCCATGGAAAGGACCGCGGTCTCCCAGTCCTTCCCTCCCGCAGCTCCGGGCTTACCTGAAGTCCTTCAGCTCCTGCTTGGTGCCACTGTCCTCCCGCCTGCTCTCGCTTGAGTCGGCTGCAGCTGCCAGCTGCAGACTCCGGGTGACAGGCCCTCCACTCCGCTCTCTGGACTTGATACTAAAGCGCTCTGTTCTTTTCTTACTGGCCAAGGCAGACTTGCTTTGCAGAACAGCCTTGCTCTTCTGGACCCTCACATGCAGGCTGCGCGAGTTTTTGCTCGAGAGCTGGACAGAATGATTCTTGGCCACAGCTTTGGGTTTTTTCCCTTCAACATGAGTTATCTTGGCCATTCTTATTGGGCTGGAGTTCCTTAAAGAGGAGGAGCTGGGTTTTTTGGACTTCACCGAAGCTGCAAACTTGATGTTCTGCTTGGACCTGAAGGAAGAGGAGGGCAGCGGGGCCTGGGTGGGGCCTGAGCTGCGGGCTCGGGTCTTGCCCAAGGGAGTCTGTGTGCTCTGCATTTTAATCTCCGCGTCTGCAGTCCGCCTGCGGTGGTTGCTGTTGTTTCTGTCACTGCTTGCAGGTGATGAGTGTCCACCTTTCTTGGATGAATGGGAAGCTTTTTTTTTGGGAGGAGAAAGGGGTTTTTTGGGACAGCTGAAAGCGGCATGTTTGTTCAGGCTCCCAATGTAGGTGAACTCTCGGTTACAGTAAGGGCAGATGTGAGAAGATGACTCTGAAGCACTTTTCAAGTCGGCCTTCTGCTTGGCAGATTTATTTTTCTGGAGGATTGCTTTCTGTACAAGCTGATTTTTTTTCTTCAGTGCATTCAGTTTGAGTTTATTCGATGACATTTTACTGAGCTCAACACTGAAGTTCAGCCTTTTGGGCTGTCCCATTCGTCGGAAGGCATTTTTTCCAGAGTTATCTAAAACCACCACACCATTTTTGGGCTGCACAGTTTGTTTTAATGGTACTGGGTTTTTCTTAGGGGTATACCTCTTCTTGTCACTTGCGGAAGCACATGCCAGGATATGTTTGTGTAACTCAGGCATGTTGTCAACACCTTTCCCACATTTTGTGCAGCGAATGGCAGTAGTAAAAGTCTGTGGGATATTGTGTGTAGTGAAATTTGTGGCCGTCACACCAATGCCCATGGGGTTTCGGTGATGGTACTGAAATGGAGGTGGCTTAAAGCTTGGGTAATGCTGGTTGAGACCCAATCGAACATCTGGATCTTTCGTCTTTATTCCAGAAGCCATTATTTTTATGGTCGTGTAAAGCTCTTCAGAGGAATCATTTAATTCCTCCTCTTCTTTAGAAGTTTCTAAAGGATCTTCTGGCAAATTCTGCATGTGCTCTATACAGGCCTTGCTGGGATCTGTAAAGTTTTGGGGCCTCAGAGTCCCGCTTTCAAACTCATGGTGTGTGCATACCTTATCTGGGTGGAGATCTCGCTGGTGCTGCTGCAAATTGCACAAAAAAGCAAATTCTTTTTTACAAACGGAACATACAAATATATTCCCAACTCCATGAAGCAAAAAGCGATGTTCTGACAAATCAGTTTTATCCTTAAAAAGCTGCACACAAAATTCACATTTGAAGGGCCATTCTTCAGCATGAACAGATAAATGTTTGGTTAAATCTTTAATGGAAAGAAAAGGTGATTCACAGACATTGCAAACAAAGTTTTTGTTGAATGTTTCCTGAACAATAGCCTGTTCAACAGCAGTCTGGGGCTCTTCCCTGGATTTCGGACCGTCATTCTCTAATTCCTCCTGTTTGAAAGATATTATGGGTAGAGAAGCCTCCAGATTATCACCAGAGGAAATGACAGATGATACAGCTGAGAGAGGAGGTGGAGAAGGGGAAGAGGAGGAAGATGAAGAAGAGAATGAAGAGGAGGAAGAAGAGGAGGAGGAAGAAGAGGAGGACGAGGAGGATGATGAGGAGGAGGAAAGTGTCGGAGGCCCAGGTGAAGCAGCAGACATCAAAGGCTCCACGGGAGGAATAGGAGAGGGAGAGGGAGATACTGTCGGGGACAAAATTGGAAGCGGGGACTGTGCGGTGGCATTCGAGAGTGGAGAGGGACACGGCTGAGGAGATGTGCTGGAAGAAGGGGCTGGAAGCAGTACGGTAGGAAGGAGGGGAGGAGGCGGTGTGGCAACAGTTAAAACTGGAGGACAGGGCGGAGGGGAAGAGGGATCCGTGGGGATCAACAGAGGGGGCAGCTGACCAGAAGAAAGGGAAGGTGTCTGCAGGGCGGGAGACGGAGGACAAACATCAGGAGGGGACTCAACAGTGGGGGCAGGGACACCAGAGTCAGGACCACGGTCAGGATCTGGCTGGGCTTCTAGGGATTTACAAGGACTTGGGCTCCTGGTCACATCTGCAGTATTTTCTATAGGCAAATCAATGCCATTATATTCATTGAGAAGAACCTTCTGCAGCATGCAGGTGGTTGGTTTCTTTTTCTTAACAGCACTACAGGTAGGTTGTGCTGAATGATTTTCTTTTAATTCCTTGCCTTCGGAGTCACTGCAAGGTTTTTTATGCACACTGAGATCTAATACAGATTCCCACTGGACCGGAGTCTTGCCTGTACCCTCAGCCTTCTGTTTGACACCACTGGATAAATCCAGTGGCTGCTGGTTGCATACATTGCTAAAAGTAGAACTGGCTGTCCACTCTTTCGATATTTTATATTCATCAAAACATGGAGGGCTCACAGTTTCTCTCTCATCTCTCCCAGACAAACTCCACGCCGGCGAGTCGCTATGACTTTCCAGTTTGGTTTTCTTGGAAGTCAGAACTGCATCAGCCCATGCTGCTTTCCCATCCCCTGGCTTTCCAAAGTCTCGGAGGGCGGGGCTGTGCTGTGGAGAACTGGGAGGAGAGCTGGTCCGCCTCTTAAACCTACTCGAGGTCACAGGTAACATGGATGCAGGAGCAGACACACAAACAGGACCTAATTTAGGTATTTCAGTTGCTGAAATTCCCGCAGGAGGAGTTAGTTTATCCTGGGTTTGAAGAAGCTGTTTGAGCTTCGAAGACAAATAAATACTTTTCTCCTTATGGAAAGACACTCCCTCTGTTGTTGATATGCTAAGAGGCAAACTTAGGGAGCACGAGGGGGTCACAGGGTCGGGATCTGTCTCAGCTTTAATTTTGGGTAGCACAGGTGGACTTGCAGTTCTCCGTTTCTTGGACTCACTATTTGTGCTGCTGGAAGGTTCTTTAGGAAGATCATCTGTGATAGAGACCTGTGTGGTCTTTATGTTTTGAGTAATTTCCACTGTAACTGGAGCGAGCAGACAATTTATACCATACAGATCTGCCGAACCAGACTCCATCTCAATCACATCACAGTTACTAGTGGTGTTGTTAGTCTGAATTTTACCATCAATGTAGTAATTTAGGTTTTCTGAGATATTGCTAGAAATATCCATGATGTACACGTCGTCCACCTCTCCCTCCTCCTCGGGCTCTGTGCTTGGGACGTAGACATTCTGGGCAGGCTGGGCCTGTTCCACTGGGGGCTGTGGCTCTTCGAGGCCTCCTTTTCGCCGCACGCCTTTGGGAATCAGATGGCGTTCGTGCACTCTGCGCTGATGCCTTCTCATATTGGTGTGAGTTCCAAAAACCTTTTTACAATATGTGCACGGATGAAGCTCTTTAACTTCCCCATTCTCTTCTGCGATGGAAGAACTGACTGTTTCTTGGGAGGCTTTCTCTGAACTCATGGTCAGGCAGTCCTGCCCAAGAGTAGGGGGATTCAATTCCTCCTTCAGAGCAGCACTTTCGCCAGCCACTTTGCCTTCGGCGAGGTCCTCCGATGGCTGTAATGTGAGGCCGGGCTTCCGCTTGAGCCCTGCTTCGTGGCGTCGCTCATGCCGCCGCCTATTAATCTGCGTGCCAAACGCCTTTCCACAGTATTTGCATTTGAAGGCATGGTTGACTGTGGACATGTGGATATGCATGTGCCGCTCGAGCCCCTGCTTGGTTGTGAACTTCCTTTCACAATGCTGACACGGAAACATGAACATTTCAAATGCATCGCCACTGGCCTCTTCTGTTGCTTGGGGGATATTGATAATGGGTATTACCTCTGGAGTGTCTTCAAGAGTTTCTTTTGGAATATTTTTTGGTTCTTCTAATAAATCTTCTGGCTTCTCATCACACCGTATTTCTGGCTCTTTCAGGGAACTTTCATTTGGCATGTCAGCTTCTTCCTCCCCATCTTCTTCCAACTCATCATCATCTTCCTCCTCCTCCTCCTCCTCCTCTTCTTCCCCCAAATCATTCACCTCACAACTGGCTGCTTCTAATTTTTCATCTGGCTCTGGCTGTGGCTCACAGGCAGGGGGAGGGATCACTAGTTCTGGAGGCACATCCTGACTAACCACCTCCCGAAGAATGGCAGGCTGCTCAGGTGCTGAGGCAGGAGGATTCTCTTCCTCTTCTTTGGGATCTAGAAAGCACACAGAAGCACAGCATGGAAGTGAAGCAGGGAAAAGCCAGCTACTCTGTGGTCAATTCGTATGATTCAAACTAGTTCTCTTATTGCCTACAATGTATAAGGGAGCTTATGTCTAACAACAAGTCACATCTACTTTATATATTTCATTGGTAAGAGTTGTCTGCTATGTACCAGCCAACATTCTAGGCAGTAAGGAGACACACATGAACACAAAATTCTTTCCTGTGTTCAGTCGCACATATATACATCTCTGCTTAAGAAGTTGGAGTGCCTGAAAGTGAGTTGGAACAGCCGATATTAAATTTTCAGGAAAGTAGTTGTAATTCTAATTTCTCATGATTCCAAACTGGAAACAAGTTCATTGCTAACCGTATCACTGGGTTAGAGCCTTAGCAGTCCTGAGTGGGTGATCCTCTTTTCTTCCTGACCAAAACTATATATTCAGAAGCTAGAACATTTTCCAGAATAGTGTAATAGGAAGCTTTCCAAGTCAAAGAAACTTTGGAGATCACCTCTTCTAAGCCTACCTATGTTATTAAGAATGCAGGAGCACCTTACTGAAGGAACAGAAATCTGAAGTCACTTCTGAGTCTCTGTGCCTAGCACACCTCAGGTAGACAGTAGCATGTGGTCAGGCAAGGACTCACTGTAAGTGACAGTGAAATAGAGACCTAAAAATATAAGCCATGCAAATATCGAGGCAAGGGAAGCCTTCTGGATAGAGGGGGCCCACAAATGTATAAGCATTGCATCAAGAATGTGCTAGATATAGTCAAGGAACAGCAAGGCAGGCAAGGTAGGGAGGAAGTGGGGGAAAAGGGCAGATGAGGCCAGAGAGGTCATCAGGGACCTGCTCAACACAAGACCTTGTGGAACAGGGAACTACCAGAAAGTTCTAGTGGAGAAACATGATTTGATCTTATAAGTCAAGGGAATCACTCTGGTTGCTACAAGGAAGACAGAAAACCCCAGGTGGACAGGTGGAGGCAGATGGACAGGAGGGCGGCCTACCACATTCTCCAGAAGGGCAAGATGGTGGTGTAATGGCGGCAGGGTGGGGAGGAGGATCTCAACAGTTTTGTTTACACAGTACTGGCACAGAGTAGGTGCTCAGTAAGCATGTGTCAAGTGATGGGGGGAAACCAGTTACCATAGCTCAGGGAAGTCAGAGCAGCTCTGCCTCCTCCACAGAGCCTGTCTTCACTCTTCAAGTATCTGCAGTGAAGGGCCTTGGTTCAACGGTGGCAAGAGGGCAGGAAGACAGCACCACGGACTGTCCCCCCAACGTTCGGCCACTGTGACAGCTCCTGTCTAAGAGTCCCCTGTGGCCCCTATGTTTCCGTCTAACTTCCACCCCATTTCCCTCTCTTTTTACAGCTGAACTCAGAAGAGTTGAGAACAGTCTCCCTGTCTCTCCTGCCTCCTTCCATTCTCTTAGAAATATCATTAGGTAAGTTCCCACTCCTCCACTAAAACCGTGGCCCTGATCATCAGACCCCCACCTCAGCAAGTAGAACGTTCTATTCTGAGTCCTCATCCAACCCACAACAGTCCTGGACACAGCTGATCATTCCCACCTTGAAGCAGTTTCCTTCTTTAACCACAGGCGACCACTCTCTTAGTTCTCCAGAGGCCTTGTTAGCCATTCCTCCAACCTCTCAGCACTGGAGTGTCTGGGCAGTCCTCTTGTCCCTCTTCTGTCTGCATTCACTTTCCAGGTGACTCTCAGTCCAGTGCTCTAAAAACCTTCTCTACCCTGAGAACTGACATTTCTGGGCCAGCCTCTTTGCTAAACTCAAGATTCATATGATTCTCAAAGAGAGAAGAGGACAAGCAAGCAGGAAGAATCAAGACTTGTAGAACACTGTAAATCAGTGTGGACCTATCTGGGGGTGGTGGGCATCCATTAAGGTATTTTAAAGTCATATGGGAGACTCAGCTGCAGGGTGGGTTAAGGAGGGGTAGAAGGGATACTGCTATGCTAATAAAATGAGAAGCAGTGGAGGCAGAAAACAGTGGCCAGACTCTCACGATACAAGAGGCTGCTGCTGCTGCTGGACGCGGAGACTGCTTGGACACAGTGGAGAAGAAGAGGTCAGTGCAAGGTATGAACTCAACTATTCAGCCCTAGTCTCTGGCTGTTTCCCAAGCATATTGGCCTTACTTTTTACCATATGCCACTATATTTACTAGTCATGAGGTTTCTGCTTCTAAACAGAAACCAGCCTTCTCTCCCCCTAGACAAATTTCATAAATTTCATGAGCTTTCCACATACTGGGAAACCAGTCATTCAGTGGTGGTAATATATTTCCAATTAGAAGCGAACTCTTTTCCAATACATTTTCAAAGTCTCAGAACATTGCCAAAAAAGTGTAAATCAGACAACAGAAAATGCATCTCTAAGGCTCAGAAATGCTTTTATAGAGTTCATTTTCAGTCAAAATCTGTGGCTTCTTTTCATGGGGGAAAAAATGTTTTTCCCTGTGATTGATAAACAATCTCAGATATAAACTGTCCAAAGCAATACAAACCTAAATGTGCACAGCTCCATATATGAGTCAGGCACATGCCAAAGTGTGTTCACATACTTGATGTGGTCTGTTGGGTTTTGAACATAAAAATAGGTTTGAGAAACACAAACAAGAGTCTGAAGTGTTTGCTCATTATATAGACCATTTGCAGAGGACTACGTAGAACATTCAGGGAGGCCTATGACCACTATAGAACCAATCCCACTCTGACCAGTTACATCACAAATGGGGGGGCGGGAAACGGCAAGTGTCTTTTATCATAGGACATGATGTTGTATCAGGGAAAAATAATCAAATTATTGAAGCAAGGAGGGAACTGTTGGATTTGACTTTTAATTCTGCCACCATAGGTAGTGAGGTTCCTCAGTAATTTTTATTGTTGTTCAAACAAATGTCTTGGAAATCTGCTATTAGAAGGCAAAACTTAGTTTTAGAAGGCTCTGGGAAATGAACTTGTCTATTCTCGCTTCAAAAAATGACACAGAAAATTATAATCCTTGATGAATGTCATTGTCACAAACAGTGCTAATAAAATGGTTATAAAAGGCATCCAAAATGTTTGTTTTTTCCTCTACAAATGTTTCTTGAAAGAGTCACGGGGGGAGGAGGAGGGCAAAAAAGAGTCACAAGACTGTATTCTGAAATCTGCCTATTTGGGTCACTATAAACAATTCTTGAGCAAGATCCAATCTCTGCAACAATTTGCCCATAGCAAATGAAGACACACCTCCCTCATTTCTGTAACAGTCTCAACATGGCAGCCCAACTGCAATGAGCACAGAGCAAGTTGCCTTTCTGTGAAGTCTTACATCATGAAAGGCCTAGAATATTAATCCTCAGAGGGACTATAAGGGAAGAAAATCTTATGCAGAGAAACACAAATTCTAACAAAAAACAAACATGTTTTTATTCTGTTATATAAAACAAAAGATCTTCGATATTTTTAAGTAAATATTTAATTGGAGTATAAAAATGCACGTTAGAGTGTACAAATCACAGCATACAGCAAGATTAAATTTTCACCAAGTAGACCAGAGATGGAACACTGCTGATACCCGCCCAGTACCTCCTTATATCCATGCCAGTCTAAGTTCTAATGCCATGAGTTTCGATGGTTTTGAACTTTATAAGTACAATCATGAATTGTGTCTTACTTTATTTTAACAAGAGAATGAGTTCATTTTTGACAAAGAAGGTATTTAATAATTTTCTGAAGAGAAAGTGAGACATGGCAGACTCAGTTTACCATATTAAGTTTAGGTAGTTTTGCCGTTCAACCCCTTTACTGTTCCTGTGTGATGCTCAGAAGGGCCATACAAGGAGACACAAAGTTAAATTAAATGGTACATACATACCCAAATCAGACCAGGCCAATACCACAAGCTCACCTTCCGCGGAATCTCTCATATTTGCAGAGGTGGAAGCAGGCTCACTTGTCTTCACCTGTATGTCTTGGATTCTGTTTCCTTTGTTTTTATTTTCCTGGGATTTTTTCTTCCCTGAAACACAATATTTATTTACTTATTCATTCATTCACTTATTATTCTGAATTCTTGAAGACAATCATTAATCTAATCACAGCCAACTGAATATTTCAGGGCAATTATCACTTTGGATTCCTAAAGAAAGGAATAGATGATAACTATAAATACTTTTAAGTCATGTTAGATGGGGAAAAAAGAAACCCCTAAGTCCTTTATTTTTGAGACTCTTGGGCATTAGTTCCCTTCATAGTTATAACAGCTATCAAATGAACAAGTAATACATTTTCAAAAATTAATACTGATGTCAAAGGAAAATTAGTAATAGCGCCGAGTTTCAATACCAAACAAATAACGGGAATTGGTTATTTGCAAGAAGCATATTAGAGAAAAACAATAAGGTATAACTTTGGGCTCTTTTATAGTTAAGATATGATTATCCATAATTGTCAGAAGTTACAACAGAAGCAGGGATTCCACTGAATTACAAAAGATACACATTCACAATGGCTCAAATACCAAATGCAGAGTAATTATGAATAATTCACTGTCTGTCTGCACGGCACTCTGAGAGACCTGAGGGATTCGACTCTGCGTCCAGTACAGTTCAATATTCCATTAACAATTCAGAGGATGGAATTCAGAAAACACCAACTGCATTTCAAGTACTATCATACTTTAGAAGGTAAGATTAAAAATGCAACATATTCCTAATAAGGTAGAACAATGAACTAAAGTCTTGAAAATATTCAATAAACAATTATCTATAGGTATACTAAGACTGAAGAGGTTCAGAAACTCAGCCTCTTTTGGATTTAACCAGGATTTGTAATTCCTCTCTAAATTTCCAGGGTTCTTTCTTCTGGTAGTTGGTGTTTCTCAGTCTTCAGAACCCTGAACACTCCTCTTCCCCTGCTGCTCTTCCCAGACAGGCCTCTACCAGCTCCCCAGAGCTGAGAGTCTTTGCCACCTTTATTTCTATATTAGTAAAATGACCAACTAGAAACCACTTATACCTTTTGGACACATGCAAAGTTATATTCTCCGAACAGAGAAACACTACAGAGGAGCACAATTGGCTAAAAATGTAAACAGATAAAAATGAGGTCAGAAACACAAACAGCATCATTGAGAAGATCATACAGTCAAAGGAGAAACATCAATTACAATACAAAGCAAATACTAATCCTAAAAAGCACCACCAAGTTTTGATACAAATTTAAGAGATGCAACAAGAAAGAGTAAAACACTTAATAATCAGCTTTAGTTTGTTAGTCTTAAAAAGCAAATTCCAAAAATACCATTTTAAATGCCTAATTCTTCAGCCTGTAAGGAAACAGGAAATATTTCTTGCAACTACGTACACATAAGGGTTCGTACAAATAAATTCCCGATCACGCATCTATCCATTCATTTCTAAAGATAGCCAAAATGCAACTCAAGACACAAGCATACACTTCACTGGAAGCACATTCTGGGGACAAAAGTCAAGGGTCTGCGTGGCGATGACTGCCATAGGTCTCCAGGTGAAGAAGTGTTAACCAGCCTCCTCTGATGGGGCAGGAACATATCAGCACCTTTCCATATGGGTAACCTCCTCTTATGATTCATTCTCCCTTGTTAACTTAGCAGCACTTAGCCTAAATCAGATGGTGATGAAGGTTCTTCAGCAATCCAGTTTCATTTAAAGGAATCTGGATCCTACCTCCTTTCCTATGTCCTGCGCGTGTGACACTCAGCCCATACCAGATTCCTGATACCAAGCAAAATGCTAACATCCCCACACACAGAATGCAAATACAAATGACTACCTGCTGACATCGCATAGCTGCACTAGTGCTGCAGTAATGTCTGAGGAAATCCAGGGCTTCTCTTATTGCCACGGGAAGGGCTCCTGGTATAGCCCTCAGACATCTAATTCCAAAGTTATAGTCAGAAAAGGTGTTCCCTGAATCAAAGTCACAAAAGTTTTATAAGATATCAGCACCACCTCATGTACTCCAAACAGGCCAAGGAATGTGACCCTTCCTTACTGACCACTTACTTTCTACACTGTACAAGTATGAGCTTTTAATAAGTAAAATGGGACGGTACAGTCTAAACCTTGCCTCCTTACACAAATCTTACACACATTTTTTTAAAAAGATCACTTTGTAAAATGCAATAGAAAAACAGATGTCAATGTGTTGTAATACAATCACTTGCAAAAAAAATTCAAAAATTTTCCGCAACTTCTCAAGCACTGTACAAACCCAGTTATCAGGTCACAACAAAGAGCACCAGCATATAGAGAAATAGAATATTAAATAAGTGAAGTTTCTAGCTTTATTTCACAGTAAAGCAAAATACACTTTTAATAATACCATTAAGACACACTCAAAATGGAATCACATAACTACCTTAAAGGGAAAGTGCTACTTTAACTTTCAAAAAGAACAATCACACACCTAGCTGATACCAAATGTCAAATGCCCAATTTTGGACTGTCATAACCTAATCAGTGATGAGAAGTTTCTTTTCTCTCCCCAGATGCTATCTTTAAAAGCCATGACAAGCAAGGGTACCTGCATAATGAACATTTGTATACCTAACCCTGAGTTGTACCCCATATATTTAAAATAAAAAATATACAAAAATAAAAGTCATGACGACAGACACCTAATCCACTGTGAATAAAAGCCACATATAATAGCTACATCCCCTATATCCTATTCAGAGGACTAACAAGAGCATCTCACCACAGATGGCTACAGGGCACGAGGGGTCTCAATCACACGTAAATGACATTCTGGGCCAGAACATTCTCTGTTGTAAAGGGCTATCCCATGCACTTGAGGATGTTTAACAGCACCCATGGCCTCTACCCACTAGCTGTTAATAGCAACCCCCTTCTGGTTGGGACAACCCAAAATCTCTAGACATGGCCAAATGTCCCCTGGGGAGGAAATCCCATGTTTAAAACCACTAAGCTAGACCAATGTAGTTCTGGGTCACTAAAAAACATAAAGGACTCTGTAGTCTATATATTTATTAAAAACTATAAAAAGTACTTGAGTAACACTAAACCAATTCTAAAAACAGAGCAGAGGAACAATTCAATTTACCACCGATGTAACTTTGGTGAACACTGACAGACTTAGTTTATGATGGAAATGAGTCTATCATGACCACCATTTATGGAATTGAGATTATCTGACACATGAAGCAGTGTTCTCAATCTTCACAAAACCATCTATCAAGTTATGCTCAGGAGGGCTATCAAAAACACCTGTTCTGCCTGCTACCATGTGGGAGAAACTGAAGGTGAAGGTCAAGGCCACAGAAGGACTCATCAAGCTACAGCAGAGCAGAAAGTGGCCCAGGGGTTCTGTTCACAGTTACAGATGCTTGGTGTCATCACAACCGGTGGTGGAACCCGCTACATTTTCTTAAATCAGAACGGCTTTTTTCCCTGATAATTGATTTCTGTCCAATACATCACCAAATTAAAAGATAAAATAAAAACAAACCTATAAGGAAGTTTACCAAGGGGCGAAGGGACTTGTGAGCTTCTCTGGGAAGCAGAGGAGCTGCAGCGGGAGCCGCTGGGAGCCTGGCAAGCACACAAGGCACTTACCATCGGGTCCTGAGGGTCCCACAGGCGCTACTGCCAGCCGGCTGCTCCGCTTGGTCTAGACGAGAAAGACAGAGGAATGAAACACGAGGAAAGCGAAATGGAAATGACGACAGAGAACAGCAGAGAGACAGGATGACACTGTGTGTACGTGAGCAAACGAAATGCACACGTTGAGATGAGAAAGTGAATGCAACAGAAGGAAAACAGCAGTTATCTACCGCACCAAGGTGCTCACACACAAAAACTAGTTAATCTCCAACTGTGTACTTTGCTTAGAGTAGACCCATGTAGCATATCCATTCTCAGGTCTACATTGCACCTGCATCATAAAACTGACACCCACCATGTATGGACCATTCTGCGGTAGGACCCCAAAGTCCCAGTGCATGCCTCTCACTTTACAGGGGAGACACCTGAGAGCCAGAGATATGGAACAGTCTGTCCAAGGTCACATGACTATATCAGCTCTAGAGTCAGAAGTAAAACTCAAGGATGATAATGTTAAAAATGCACTGTCTCCTACAGTTATTTCTTAACACCAATAATGGCTTAATAAGCATACCTAATTTGTTACACAGCACTTTACATCACTACTGCACTTGGTTGCAAGGGCAAATGAAAAAAATTGTATAAAGATTTGCACTGCATTTGTAGTAAAGAAGCAAAAATCAAACCGAAATGCATTTTCTTCTGTGTTGATTTTATCTTACGCCATAAACAAGTATCAGTCAACAGTCCAGAATCCTGATCTAAACAAAAATGATTCATCACTGAATAACAGCAATAAAACTGGATTTTCTAGTGAACAGCTTCCATGTTGAGACATTCAACAGCAATGACTACTTTCTAAGATAACGTAGGATTATACTGCTGGTGCCTGTTTTGCCAGCAGCACAAATTGCCCTAAGTATCACATGTAAAATCTAACCTAGGTCTAGACTATGTCTTACTATCCTAATAAACTGGACAAACACAAGGAAATTCTAGAGAATAATGTTTCACTTAAAAATGTTCAAACAGCAGAGAAAATGCAAAATTCTAGAAGGTTTGTTCAAGTTACATTAAAAATTCATCACAAGAGTGAAGGCTCATGCATTTGGTAATTTAGATGAATTAAATTTAGAACTATTTGTAACTCTACATGTGCTGCCTCCTCACTGGGGAGCTATCCAACTCTGAAGTATAAAATCAGAATTAAATACCAGTGCACAGAAGCCACATCCATCCGATCTTCATTTGGGGAGCTCGCCATTTTAGATACACTACGCTGATTCCAAATCCTGGGAGAACTCTCCAATGGTACCATGAAAGGTCAGGAACATGGGCTGCCAGAACAGGATCAGCACTGACTCACCGAAGAACGGGTTGTGCCTGTTGCCTCCAGTTCCTCTGCCCTCAGGCAGCCCTCCCTCCCTGCACCTCAACTTCCATTCTCCTCCTCTCTGAACTCCATTACAAGGCCCAACAACTCTTCAGGTCTTATTTGCCCCAAGTTTCTCCTTTATTATCTGACAATTCGATGTCTCTTTTATTCTTAGAATTCCTTTCCCCAACCCTAGCCCACTCATCTAGAACCTCACCTTTCACAGCCTTCCTCTTCTTCCCACCCCTAGATGAGAGGGCCCTTCCCAGGGAAGCTTAAGCCTGTAATCCCGCGCCTTGGGAGGCTGAGGTGAGTGAATTGCCTGAGCCCGCAGGTTCGAGACCCGCCTGGGCAAGTTGGCGAGACCTCATCTCTACAATAAATCAAAAAATTAGCCGGGTGTGGTAGCGCGCGCCTGTAGTTCCAGCTACATGGAAGGCTGAGGCGGAAGGATCGCCGGAGCCCGGCAGGTCGAGGCTGTGGTGGCCGGGAGCAGCCACTGCACTCCAGTGTGGGCGACGGAATGAGACTCCAACTCAAAAAAAAAAGAATGAGAAGACCTGGGCAGTAGGACTGATGGGAGACCAGTGTCCCTGAAGCTGACCAGGAAGAGCAACAGTGCCACCCATGGGGATGTGGTTATCAGAGTATCCCAAGTGGCTGTCACAACTGGCCAAGGTGTGATCAGTGGCAAAACAAGCTCTGTCGGTAGAAAGATGCTGTAACGGTTGTTATAAAAGTAGCATGCTGTACATTTCCTATAGAGCTCTTTTTCACTTAAAATAACTTTGAAATGTACCTGATAGTTTTTTAAAAATTCTGTTAAGTTCCTTTGGCATAATTGAAAATACTTTTCTGCAGTTGAACTCACCAAGAACTGTCATCCTGGAGGCAAATTTTAAAAATAAAATCTCTCTGGTTTTAAGTTGCACACTGTATTAAAACAGGGCTCTGGGTTTTGCTTCCAACAGAAACAATGGAAAAGTTCTGGATTTTGCAGTTCTGCAGATCACAGTGTAAATTCCTGAAATGCTTGCTCCCCGCCAGGGGGGCCAGGGCGCAGCCTCTGCAGTGATGGAGGCTGCAGGCACCCCCAACTCTTCCAAAAGTCAGGCTGATAGAAGAACAGCAGACCACATGGAAAGGAGTCCGAGCTGCTAATGCGTCTACAAAAGGCTTTTAGTGGCTTTGACTAAATACTTCCAAATCTTAGGAAGGGGTCCCCCAAATAGACTTTAGCAAATTCAAATTAAGAAAGTATTAAGTTTTCTTATACTCTGGAACCTCAAAAGGTCTTGTGGCATGAACAAAATGATTCTGGAGACTAATTAAATATAAACAAGCTGCTAGACTGTCCTACTTTATAATTATTTTAACTTCTAGGTTTTTTCTCATGGTTTTTCAGTAGCCTTTATTTTACAGGAGGAAAAATGTACCTAAAATCTGAAAACCTTACATATAAGAAGTAAGGAGGCAACAAAGCAATGGATTTAATTCAAGTCATGGGCTCAGTCCCCGCAGCCAAACAAACCAGCCTGGGAGCTGCTGCAGAGGAGTGTTTCAAGTGCCTGGCAACCCGAAAATAGAGGGAACAGCCACACCCTGGAGACTTGGTCATTCTCAGCTAAAAAGCTTTCAAAGCTCATGATAAATTTTACAATGCATCCTGATGAATTAACTATAAAATTCAGTTTCAAATGTTTTCAAGAAGCAAAACTCTTACATAAATTTGAGGCAAGACACTACGAAAACACTAAAATTGATTCTCTACATTTGGTTATAGAAATGCCCAAAAGAACAATGGTCAAGACACATGACTAATTAATAAAATCAGGCTACAATTCATCCACAGAGGTATAGTTAAGGAAAACCAAGAGGATATACATTCAGAATTTGGCAGGTGGTTTCCAGTGACAAAATGATTGATGAGGGATGATATTTCTCTCCATCTGATTGTATTTAATGAACATTTGGCTACAGTATGCAAAAAAGAATATATGATTTTTTAAAAAAAGAAATGTGCACAGAAGCAAAATCAATGAAACCACTGAAGATGTTTTTATTGGTTGAGATGAACACATGCAATTTTTTAATGGTGCAACATGGAAAAAGCCTCCACTTTCTGTATGGCCTGCACAGCAAACAGTATTGCTGAAGTGTTTCTCTGTTCTCATCTCTTACCTATACACCTCAGAAAACCGTCCAGGAAAAAAAAAAACACACTATCTTCAGAAATAGCAAATCCACAACAGACACACAATTGTAAAGAGTTAAAAATAAAAGGGGTTAAAAATATTCATAACGAATATTATTAGCCAGCCACAACCGCTCAGGATTCAAATAACCCCAGTGACCTGTTGGCACATGTCCTTCGGCTCTTTTCCCTGCGCATCTCATCACTTTAAACCAAAAATCAATTTGTCTCTTCCTTTCAGACACACACCTCATATACTTTTTTCTTGCTTCGCTGCACTTGGTTATTACACCCATTATTATTTAAATCAAATATCTAATTTAAACAATCATATTGAGCGCCTACCAGTGTTAACCTGATGGTCAATGTTTTGGCAATCTGTTGTGATAACTCATGAGTATTCTTCACCACCTTTTATTTTGCTTCTACTAAAAATGCGAAGACTGGGTCATGATATTTGAACATGCCACATTTTGGCAGAAGCTTATAAAAACAAGAGCATTTAGAGAGATATTTAACTACCTAATCATGTGGTGCTGCCATGAAATGAGGCGCCGCCATGAAATGAGGCACTGTGATTCCAGGGTAATTTTTAAAACTGCATCACTATTGCTCATCGATCTGATCCCACCACTGTGCAAGATCTCAATTGTTGCCCAGCTGCCGTCTGACCTGCAGCTGTGCCTCATCAGCACTTTCAGACTGACACATCACTGCTCCAAGGGAGAAGATCTCAGACCCCTCCGGGCTGCTGCCTGCACACAGCTGGCACAAATTCATCCACCCTGATAAACTCTAAACTGCGAAGGCTCTCTTTCAGATTGAAGAAGTGGAGATGGAACTAAAATGTGTTTTCCTCATAAAGCGATTATCTTTTAAATCACAAGTTGCATTTAAATTCAATTACAGATTTTCTTTTGCTCTCCACCTAAACACAAAATTCTACTAGTCTATTCAACAACATATCTCATTCTCAGATGTGCTGGCTTATGTCAGACAACTATTCAAATTTAGCCGAAGCTCATTATTCTTGCTAGAGTAAAAAAAATAATAATTATCTAATACTTTGTAAAGTTTCTGGAATCATGGCGAAGTAAAGTATTTTGATAATTTTTCTTGGGTGATTATTAGCTACGCAACACTGTTAAAAGCTACAGGGGATACAAATATATCACCACAAAGACATCTGCCATGAAGGAATTTAAAAGTGCAGCTATATGTCTACTGAACTTTGTAAAAAGCAAGCCCCTCTGCAGAAAGGCTCTACGAATGCTAACAAGAAGCAAACTTTGAGTAGAAAAGATTTACAGAAAATCTGTATTTCATTAAAAATCAAAAGAGAAGAGAAGAAAGGAGACAGAAGGAAAGAGAGAAGGAGGGAAAGAAAAGGGAGAGGGGGAGAGGGAGATGGACGGACTGCCATCCAGTGAACCCAAGTAAAGCCAGAAAGCAACATATGACAATCCATGGACCCAAGAATGGAGCCTTGCAGAAACACTAATTCCTACTCAGTACTAATTTCTAAGGATTATAGCTGACAGTGTTCTATCTTTTGCCAATAAAGGAGTAAAATGCCCATGGGG